TATATGCATTATGATTATGATTAACATGTAATGCATGTTTAGGAGGTTGTCTAGTTGATTGATATCTAACCTTATTAGCCTTATTTGTTTGAGGTTGTCTAATTGGAGGGAATTCAAGCTATTTTATCGACATGAGTGTTCTAAATCGAAAAAGATTCCAACTATTTATTTATTTTTTTTTTCAAACCATTTTTTTCTATTAACATGGTGGTAGAAAGAATACTATACTGCGTCTAGATTTAAAACTGCCTATGCCTAGCTTTGCTTTAACCAAAAAACAAAGTAGGGGTTGAAAAAAGACTTTTTTGTTTAGATCTTATATATTCTTTTTCTATTTCTAATGGATTGGATTTCTATTCAGTATTATAATGAACATTATAGATATAGAACCTTCCAGATACATATACTTTTCTATAGTATATCCTTATTTTTAGATTTTTCATATTCTTTATATTCATTATCTAAATTTTATGATAATCTCATTCTACGTTTAGATTTCTATTAATGTTTATATTAGACTAATATCTCTTTTATTTATTATATTTCTTTTTTGATTCCTATTCCTTTTTTTGTGGTTTATTTATTTATTCATTTTTTGATACAGCCAGAGCCCAACCAGGGCCTAGCCGGGCTCGGGGACTGTTTCCAGGAATCCCAGATAACTCTGATTTATTTGAATAAAAAAAGAAATGAGATTCGCCCCCTTTTTAATTGATTAGGGGGGTTGGTCCCCTTACGACACATGGCAGCGCTCTAATTTCTAGAAGCGTATGTTTCTATATATTGACCCATTCTCCGGTTCGACAAAAGGTCCATTTATGTGTAATAATAGCATTGTAGCAGCAGCGGGTATAGTTTAGTGGTAAAAGTGCGATTAGTTCTACGGACCCCTTAAAAGTTAAGGGATCCCGCCCTCCTTTGAACCTACGACATCGGGTTTTGGAGACCCGCGTTCTACCGAACTGAACTAAGAGCGCTTATCTTTTATTTTTAATAATAAAAACATAATAATAATATTATAAT